CGGCGTGACGTTCCCACGGCAGACATCGATGGACGGCCTGGGGGTTGGGTTTCTTGTGGAAGGTTCTCTGCGGTCGAGCTCTTACTGCACACATGGGCGCCTCCCGGCGCCAAGATGCGCCGGGGAAGCCGGCATCCGTGAGCTGATTCTCAGAGCGTGAATTAGGGAAGCTCTCGTGCGCTGGGGGCCCGTCCGCGGCGGGGGCGCGCCGCCGCGCCGTCGGGCCGCCCGCGAGGCCCGGGCGCGCCGCGGCCTCGGAGGCCCGCGGCCGCCGGAGGCGGCCACCAGGAGTGGCTGGAGCTGCGGCTCGCGGCTCTCGCGCTGGGCGACGTCGCGCCGGGCGCGAGTCAGAGCGTGGATTACCTGCCGGCGTGACGTTCCCACGGCAGACATCGATGGACGGCCTGGGGGTTGGGTTTCTTGTGGAAGGTTCTCTGCGGTCGAGCTCTTACTGCACACATGGGCGCCTCCCGGCGCCAAGATGCGCCGGGGAAGCCGGCATCCGTGAGCTGATTCTCAGAGCGTGAATTACCTACCCGGCTTTCGCTTCCAGGCAAAACCAAGCCATACCACGCGCCTCCTCGTCAAGCGGCCTGACCAGCACGGGCTGCAATGTGGCATCGTCTGGTATCTCTTGGAAGCGAGGGTGGTCAAAAGCGAGGTAGGTTTGTTTTCCCCCTAGCGAGGGAAGTCGGCTTCTTGGGCGCGCTGTCCGACATCCATCTGTTCGGACGTCCTTCGGACGCCAGTGACATGGTGATCGCGCCGTTCGCACACTCGTCCTGCACTGCGTCGATGCGCCGCCGCATGCGCACGACGCGGGCGGCGATGCGCTGTGTGCGAGGCTGCCTGTGGAGGCGCTTGTGTTGATTTTCCCAGATGTTGTGGCCGATCGGGCTGTTGAGAGTCTCCGAGACGCTGGTGGGGACCGCGTAACTGGAGGCGCTGTTCGAGATGATACTGTCGGAGATCACGCTGCTGCTCAGAGTCAATGCGATGAAGGTGACGGCGAGTACACCCAGAACGCGGCCGAGGAGAAGAGCCGGCCCCCAAGGAGTGCTTCAAAGAGTGCGGAACACAAGGGCATCAGGAGCCAGACGTAGAGGACCAGGAGGAGCGATCGACACAGAGGCCTCGTACACGGCATGGGTGCTCAGCGTGATGCACGGGTGGGGAAGGCGGTGCCCGCTGGGCCCGCCCGCCCGTTCGCGGAGCGGCTTGCGCGCCAAATCGATCTTTGGGGCGCTTGTCGATTCCATGGCAAGGTTCAGGCAGGTGGAGCGAGTACTTAAAGTTCATTGCGTGCGCCGCGCAGAGGCTGAGGAGGACGAGGAGTGGGAGGATGAGGACGACAGCCGTTTCGCGGATTCAGAGGGCACCGGTTGTCAAACAGTGGATCGGGAATTCAGGATAATCATTTTGGAGAAGATGTTGTCAACCGTGACGACACTGTACTTGCGCAAGTACGGTGTGGACGTGGATCTGAGCGTTGATGAGGATGCGACGTGTACCCTGTGGCCGTGAGGCCGCCAATGTGGCGCTCTTCCTGGCGATGTTAGTGCTTTCCTTCGGCAGCATGTGTCTGCTGTGCAGAAGGCTCGCGCCTCAAACTGCAGAAGGTGATGTGCAGTCTTCCCTTTCGTCTTCTCCTCGTCGCTACGGGATTTGAGAGCGGTGGTGTGCTAGGAGTCTCTTTTTTGCCGTCGTGGGCCTCAGAACCTTAAATACAATAGTTCCACGGCTTCGCTACAGCCTATATATATAGATATTTAAGCCGGCGGTTGGTCGTGTCAACCTTCGCGAAGATTTGGATATTGATTGCCTGGTCTGCTTTCGCCGTCGAATGTGGCTCCCTTGGCTTGAGTGCCTCGCGCCCTCTTGGTGCCCCTAGCTGCAGGGTGCCTCGGACCCTGCAGCCTTGCGCTTGTGGCTGCCCATCTGAGCGTGGTGGTTGAGTAGTTTCGGGCGGCGATCGGGGACCTGGCGGGGAGGCGCGCCGCTCGGGGCACGCGCTCGTCAAGCAGTGCCTTGCGGAAAACCGGAGCGAGGTGTGCTGCGCCTGCTCAGATCTCCGCCGAGGGCCAGAGGCTCGTCCCGCCCGAGCCCTCCGGGCAGTCTTCGTGGCCGGCGGTCTGGTGTGGGCCTGCGCTGGCGCCGTGCGTCGGGGGTGGACAGACCTCCAACCCTGACACGTCGATTAAGGAATTGGCCGTTTTCGGTTCGCGAGAGGGCGTCGCGGCCGTTATTTTTGCGGGTCCAGGTCCGTCGGGTTCGGTCCCAGGTCGTTTTCGCTAAAGGGAGGTGAACAAAAAGGAAGGTCTGTCCACCGCCGAGTGCGTTCTGTCTGTATCGGAGCTACGAACATCGCAGATTCCTTGTTGGAGCCATGCTGGATCCCGTGGCCCTGACGGCAGGTGCGGGACGACGACGTTGTGGGGGAGAGGTTCTTCGGGCTGGCGTCCATGGGTCTGGAATATGCCTGGTCGGCCTGGCCCTCCCCTCGTCGCCCCCGCGTGTTGTCCCCAGTTGGTCTTCGACAGCTTCGCAGGACCCAAGGTATCACGGCAGCGAAGAAGGGGCCAGGGGCCTGCGTGGCGGATGGCGCTCTGGCCGAGCACGACGGTTGCGTGCTCCCTCTTTTACCAGCGCAGAGCCGAATTTGGACGGACCAGGTCTAGCGCTGGCAGCGGGCACGGGGTGTCTGCTGCGATGGCCGTCGCAACTACCTTGGAGTGCGGGCCTCGCGCCGGGGGTGGGGACGTTGACTCGGCGGCTGTGCGGAGCCGCGTCGTTGGTCCAGGACTCCCTGCTGGTCGTCGTCTCTCTGGCCCTCTCCTCGCTGCCCCCGCCTGCTGTTCTCGGCGGTCGCCGACGGCTGCGCAGGACCCAGGCTGCCAGGGGCGGCGGAGCGGGAGCCAAGGGCCTGGTGGGAGGAGGGCGCGCGGGCCAAGCCCCGCGGGAAGTGGTTCTCCCCATTCTGCGGGCGGCAAGCCGCCTGGAGTGTCGAGCGTGGGGTGCTCGCGGCCCGCCCTTGCCAGGGCCTGTAGGGACCACTTGCTGGTGCTTCCGACCCCGCTCACGCTGGTCCGTCGTAATGGTACTTGTGTACGGTGGAAACCCATGCCAAGAAACACACTGCTTGCCTCCAGGGTGCCCTGGTGTTCTTAGGTTCCGATGGCTTTGCGATGGAAAACGTGACGCTCCCACACCAAAAGTCCCTGGACGTTCTGGGGTCTCAGGCCAGGGCTTTTGTTTGGAAGGATTCACTGTGGATCTGCTACTTCTGTGCCAACGTGTGCATGTGTTTGTCGAGCTGGATCGAAGGTGTGCTGGGCCAGCTGTGCTGGAACTGGCCTCCGGTCCCTGGCGACCTTGTGCATCGCGGGCGGTTCGTGGCAGGCCCTCTTTGGCTGCCTGTCTGCTCTCTCGTCCGTGCTCGCCAGGCTCGAGGGGCGTCGGCCTGGCCCGCCGGCTGAGAGAGTAGGCGCACCGCCAGCGCTGCTCGTGCGTTCGCCTTCCAGCCTGCCCAAGACAAGGACAGGGGGAGGAAAGAGGCGGAGGAAAAGAGGAGGAGTCGGAGTCGGAGGAGGAGGAGGAGAATGAGGGAGGCGGAGGAGGAGGGAGGAGGAGGAGTAGGAGGAGGAGGAGGAGGAGGAGGAGGAGGAGGAGGAGGAGGAGGAGCAAGAGCAGGAGCAGGAGCAGGAGCAGGAGCAGGAGGAAGAGCAGGAGCAGGAGCAGGAGCAAGAGCAGGAACGCCTGGGGCGTGGGCGGGGGCGCGCTGCTTCACAGGTGGGCGCCGTGCGTGGCAGACGCGGCCGGCGTTCCAGTCGAGGAGGCCCGCGGGTCTTCTCGCCGAGGGTACCTCGCGTCGGAACGGCGCCTCCCAGTCAAGCCCCTTCGGTAGCCGGTACCAGGGCTGCAATGCCAAGCGTTCGAGGGTAGCACACCCGCATGTTGCAGCGTTGCCCAGCGTTGATGATGATAATGATGGTTATGATGATGGTGATAATGTTGATGATGATGATGATGATGATGATGATGATGATGATGATGATGATGATGATGATGATGCTGATGCTGATGATGATGATTATGCTGATTATGCTGCTGCCGATGATGATGATGATGATGATGATGATGATGATGCTGATGATGCTGATGCTGATGCTGATGCTGATGCTGATGATGATGATGCTGATGCTGATGATGATGATGATGATGATGCTGATGCTGATGATGATGATGATGATGATGATGATGATGATGATGATGATGATGATGATGATGATGCCAGGCACTCCTCAACGCAGGATTGCCTCTGGCGCCGGGATGCGCTGGGACAAACAAACAGCTACCACCCTCCCGCTTTACTAGCGCCCCTTCTTGTCCTCGCATTGAAAATGCGTGGACCCACTTTCCCCCTCCACGTTCTCGACGTTTTCGTTCTCTTATTCCCTCGCCTCCCCCCATGGAGGACCGAAAGTCGTATTGAACGAGTGGTGACGAAGACCAACAGCCGTTCCTGTCGGAATTGAGCAGCGCTCGCTGCCCACTCGTGGCAAGAGGCGTCCGCCCACGCCCGAAATGGGTACGGAAAGAATGGGTACAATGCCCAACAGCAGTTCCTGTGCATTTTGACCAGGACTCGCTGTCCGCGCCGCCGCGGCCCGTGTCTATCCGAGACAGAAGGCCGCCTGCCCAGCAGCGACCGCTGTTGGCTTGGGGCAACACTTGTTGTTGGGCATTGTACCCATTTTTTCCGTACCCATTTCGGGCGTCCAAGCGTTGATGGGATTGGCCAGCATACGCAGCTGGGCGCCGTCGCCATTCTACATCCGTCTCCGCTTCGGGCGTGCCAGTCGCTGCCCCGTGCCCCTGGCATTGGGGTCCCACGGGATCGCTTCCCCCTCGGCATCCTCCGCCTCCGCCTCCTCCTCCTCCTCCTCCTCCTCCTCCTCCTCCTCCTCCCCTTGCTCCTGAAAGGAACTGTACAGGGGGACTGGCTCAGGGGGGGGGAGACATCGTGCTCGAATCGGCGGTGCGTCGCCGACAGATCTCCGACATGCCGCCGAAGTGGGCGACTGAGGGTCGATGCATCCTCTCCTCATCCTGTGTCCTCTTTCTCCCTCGTCTCCCCCCGGGCATCCCCATGGCCCGGGTCTTGGTGCACACGGCCTCCTCCGGCAGCGAATCGTGGGAGCCTGGTGTGCCCTCGCAGCTTCGTCGTCAGCGTCGGTCAGCGGCAGCTAGCGTCTGAGAGTCCATGAGGCGACGCGGATTTGGCATCGGCTTGCGCCGATTCGCGTCGACATAGCGCTGATCCGAGTCGGCTAGCCTCAATTCGCGTCGATTCGCGAGAGCCGACAAGTTGGTGTGGGAGGCTCCCATCAGCTGCCACCGAAGCCTCCTGGCCTTGCCTGGTGCCCATGCGCACCAGAACGCAGGCCCTGGGCGGGCCCGTGGAGGCTGGGAGATGGTGAGCACTCTGTGTCTCTGTATCCCTTCCTTCCCTGTTTCCTTCCCTCGGTCCTCCCGCCTCCCTCCCCCCTCTTCCCTCCCTGCTCCCTGTACTTACCCCATGTCTTTTGCTTCGCGAGTTTCCCATTTCCATTTCCATGTACGTCCCTGCTCCCTGCTCCCTCGTGGGCCCCCCAGGTGCGATGGAACACAGTTGTTCTTCATGTGCGCTGCAATGCTTTGTCGTGCGTATCGAGGCGGCGCGTGAGCTCATCGGGTTCGCTGTTCGCCACCCGTGCGTGGTCGACGGTCACTCGCCCGTGAGCTCGCTGAAGCGTTTCTAGGCTTGTTTCGAAGATGGGGAGTCCTATCTTTCTGATGTTTGTCAGCTGAAGGTGCAGGTTCTGTGGTCCCTTCGAACGCCTTGTGGCTTCCAGCGTGAGATGTCGTCGGCATCAAAGGCCATTCGAGCAGAGTCGTGTCGCCACCGTGTGGGAGAAGCTGGTCCCACTCTGCAAGCGAGATATGCGCAACCGTGGCTGAACGCGGGCCCGTGATTAGCGAAAGACGATCTTCGAGTTTACTTAGACAAATCAGAGTCGTGCTGTCCCAGACCCGTGTGACCCCAGGACGGATAGATGGGAAACGAATCCAGCAATCCAGCCATTGTCGAATATCCGCCGTGGGCAGTTGGAGTCCAGGGTCTCGTCCAGGGACGCACCTGTCAAAACCAGTAGTGAGGCATCGCCCCTTCTTGCAGGCGCTCGCGACTGCACCAAGCCTTCGACGAAGAAGACCCAATAGCCCCCTGCAAGGAAGGCAATACAATATCCTTAGACGGCTTGGGGCCCAGCAAGCTGAATGCGATGAGTGATGGTACACCTCCATAAGATGTCTCAACATGCTGTTCTGCCCAGCACTCTTTGTCATCATCCTACGCCGTTTATCGCGTTCTGCCTGTTTGCCCGATCCCAAACAAATTCCGATGTAAGGTGCTTGCAACATTGATTTAATGTGAATTCCCAGCCTTAGCCATTCGGAGGCTTCGCAGGCAAGTGAAGGGGACGAGCTCAAAAGAACAATGTTGGGTGCAATGTCGAAGTCTTCAGTCTAGATTGAATCGCAGACGCCCTTGACGCGCTCGATCTGACTTGGTCTGCACAAAGGCCTGTGATCGAATCGTCCCAAGGACAGCATCACCAACCAACTTGCGCTGACTAATGGCGGCTGGGGGATACGTTATTGGATTTTTTTTCTGTGGCACAAGCATGGTGTCGTTTCTCAACCCTAAAACTATGTTTTTGGTGTGTTGGAAGGCGTGAGAGTGAGTGCCGAGTTGATTGAGTACTGGAGATCCAGGCAGAGCTGGAGTTCCATCCCAACATCACCGATTTGGAACCCAGCGTAAGGCTGCCCACATCCAGTCTGGTCTGTTGGATATAACCGTCTTGAATTTCCCAATTGCCATGAGAATGTGTCATACCCATCTTCGTGAACTTCATATGCTAATAGCTTGAAACGAATTCCCCGAACGCTGAATTGCCAATGACCGCGGCGTCCCATGCCGAACTTGTGCTCCCAGAAACGAAGAGTTCACTCGCACGGCCACCCCCTCAGTTTGTGTAGCAAGCCACGACCACGGCCACGAGTACCCAGCTGTCCACCCAGGACCGCTTAGTTCTATGTACGCTGCCTCCCCAAGGGCACGAGTACCTGCCAAGGCCAAGTGCCACACCTCACGATCATCAAATGAATGATTGAGGAGGGAGGGAGGAGGAGGGAGGAGGAAGGATGAGGGATCATGAGGCAGGAGGAAGGGGAGGGGTGAGGAGGGATGAGGAGGGATGAGGAGGGAGGTGGAGGCAGGAGGAAGGGGAGGAGGGGGGAGGATGGAGGAGCAGAGCTTCCGCTGTCCGTGCCTCCTCCCCTTCCGCCTCCTCCCCGGGGATGGTGCGGGCCCGAAGACGATCCAAGGGGGGCCCGGGGGCGATGAGTGCAGGCCGGGAGGCCAGCGGGCGGTCGCTGCCCGTTTTGCCTGAGCTGTTGGCTCCCGTTGGACCTCCACCCGGGAACTTACCAGCATGGGGATAGGGATAGGGATAGGGATATGGTCCAGGCTGGTAAGGAACTGACATCCTTGCACGCATCGCCCTGGTGGCCACTCGTCCTGAAGCTGGACGGGTGCGGGCGTCGTGGCAGCGGGAGGGAGGATCGGGCGGGTGGTGTGGGGGGGGTCAATGGGGGGTGAGGAAAAGAGAGCCCTAGAGTGGCACTTCTCTTCACCTCCCGTTTGGGTCACCCCGCATTGCCACCCGCCCGAGAGAAAGGAGCAGGGAGGAGGGAGGAGGACCGGAGGAGGAAGCAGAAGGGAGGAGGCAGGAGGAGAGAGGAGGAGGGCCTCCCCTACTCTTGACCCCGAGGCAGGGAGGAGGCAGGAGGAGGGAGGAGGGAGGAGGAGGGAGAAGGGATGAGGCAGGAGGAGGAGGAGCGAGGCAGGAGGAGGGCCCTCACCCCCTCGACCCCGAGGCGCGTGCCCCAGCCGCGGACGCCGGCATCTGCCTGGCGGTGGGGGACGAGTCGCGGGGCGTGGGGCCGGAGCTGCTGCGCGCCTGCGAGCGGGTCGCGCTGCCGATGTCGGAGCTCGTTGACTCGCTGGAGGGGGAGGGGGGGGCTCCTCCTCCTAATTCTCCTCCTCGCCCTCCTTCGTGTGCTCCTCCTCCTCCTCCTCCTCCCCCTCCTCCTCCTCCTCCTCCTCCTCCTCCTCCTTCTCCTCCTCCTCCTCCTCCTCTTGCCTTCGCGTCCTCCTTAGCTTCCCCTTCCTCCTCCTCCTCCTCCTCCTCCTCCTCCTCCTCCTCCTCCTCCTGCTCTTTCCGTCGCGAAGCGCGACGGATCGAGGAAGAAGAGGCGAGGTCCTCCTGCGCAGGCGGGGCCGGGCCGGCCGCGCCCTGCGACCGGGGGGCGGCGCGTTCACCCCCGCCCGGGCACGGCCGCACGCTTCCAACGAGGGCCGCGCTTCTGGGCGAGGGGTGGCGCCCCAATTAAATCTACGCGAAGATCGGGACAGAATCGGATCGGGGTAACTCGAAATCTCTGAGAATCGGCGGGTTTGGAGGATGTATTGGGCGCCGCGGCCGCTCCAGAGCGTTCCGGAACGCTCTGAGAGCGCTCGGGAACGCTCTGGATCGATTTATCCCGATCCTAGCCCTGTTTTAGGGTGGCCGCGCTTCTGGGCGAGGGGTGGCGCCCCAATTAAATCTACGCGAAGATCGGGACAGAATCGGATCGGGGTAACTCGAAATCTCTGAGAATCGGCGGGTTTGGAGGATGTATTGGGCGCCGCGGCCGCTCCAGAGCGTTCCGGAACGCTCTGAGAGCGCTCGGGAACGCTCTGGATCGATTTATCCCGATCCTAGCCCTGTTTTAGGGTGGCGCCCCAACCAGTCACCACCCACCAAACCACCCCAACCCAACCCGAAGGCTCCGATTTTCCCTCCATTTCCAGGGGTGGGTGGGTGGGGGAACATGGAAAAAACACGTATGGAGCCCGTACCCCCTTCAACCCGAAATTCGGGCGAAATTCGGGTCTTCGGGTTGGGTTGGGGTGGCTTGGTAGGTGGCGCCAACCAGGGCCTACAACCCCATGAAAACAAGTTTATCACACAAATGGCACAGTGATGGAAGCCGAACAAATTTTGAATCAGACCAGGCGGGGCCCGTCGCATCAAGGGGCAGCCGCCTGTCGACGTTGCGGAAAAACGTCTCGTTTGCATTGCGCGTTGCACGTTTGCCATCCGACTGGTGGGAAGGAAACCGCAAGGCAGAACGTGGAACCGCCCACGCCAGCGGCCCTGCGAAGGAGCAACGTGGAAGAGCACCCGGGCATTAAGTGGCGTCCGCCTTCCAATGTTGCCATTGAGCGCGCAAGACAAAGTGTGACATATCAATGACCTGGCCCATGGTATACGCCTGTGCACGCTGCCAACTTTTCTAGGCGAATATCACTTAATGATCCTCTTTGGGCGTTGCCGTCAGCAAATCATTCACGATGATCGTCTTGCCGGTAGTGTTATAGCTTTTCCAGGGCTGTGTATATAGTTACTTAGATCGGGCATGCCCGTCAGCAGGAGGAAAATTGAAACATAGGGGCGATTCTGCGACTGTTTGGGATGTGTTTGAATAGTTGTGGGCTGCGTTTTATGTTTCTACCAAGCTCCGCCTGTAGGAAGACATGCCCGGCCCAAGCCTATACATCGGGAAACAAACAACAACGTAAACATTACAATTCGGAGCGCCGCACAGATTTTTCGGATCGGCGCTGGAGCCCCCTGGCGGCGCCTCTGGTGCCGCCCCTGGCTCCTTCCGCGCGCCAGGGGGGGGGGTCCAGCGCTGATCCGAAACATCCGCGCGAACCTGTGAGTTTTCATGTTTATGTCATTGATTGCTCCCCTGATCTAGTCAAGACGCTGAGAGAAGAAGCAGTTCGGGTTGGGAAAGGGGCTCGGTGTTCCCGAGGTCTTTCCATGGCTGTTTCTCTTGAGCTGCTCGTCCACGCAGGCGCCTCAGGGGCCCCACAGTCGGGTGTTGCCAGAAATGCCACTGGCCCAGGGTGCCCCAAGGATTTCCAAGGAGACCCCGCGGCTTCCAGAGCACCCCTCGCGAGGCCCAGAGGGCCCCAATGGCGCCAAACTGGAGCGAAAAACTGGGGGGACCTTGGGCCAGGGACACTTCTGGCAACATCCGAGAAACAAAAATGTGCTTCGTTCCTTATATAGCGTTCCTCGTTTCAGCGGCCCGACTGCAGACTCCGATGTTTGGGAGTGCGGCCGTCGCCGCGTGTACCCCGAGCGTCTTGGGCGGGGATCCTCCACCTCCTCCTTCGCGTTCTCCTCAACTTCCCCTTCCCCTCCTCCTGCTCCTGCTCCCGCTCCTGCTCTTCCTCCTCCTCCTGCTGTTCCTCCTCCTCCTCCTCCTCCTCCTCCTCCTCCTCCTGCTGTTCCTCCTCCTCCTCCTCCTCCTCCTCCTCCTCCTCCTCCTGCTCCTGTATCACCAGGGCCGCGGTTTGCTCATGCCGCTCCTCTTGGGCGGGGGTCCACCTCCTTCCTGCTGTTCCTTCCTGGTTCCTGCGTCCTGCTCCTCCTTCCTGTAAGGGCACCGGATCGAGGACGAAGAAGAAGAAGCAGCACAAGCATCGATTCAACAGGTCAGCGCAGGTTCCAGGGTGCGGCGCTGGACCCCCTTGGCGGGGCGGGGCCCCTGGTCCCGCCCAGGCCCCGCCCAGGCGTCGCCCAAATGGGACGGCACAGATGGGGTCGGAGGATCGCGCCGCATCCCCGGTTCATCGGCGATGCGGCGCTGTCGATGTTGATTTCTGTGGGCCCGCTGGCTGACGCGGAGCGAGGTGGCCGCTCCTTACGCCTGCATTGTGGTTGTCGTGGTCTGCTTGGTGGCTTTGAGTCGCCCCGTCCTCTTCGTAGGAGGAGGAGGAGGAGGAGGATGAGGAGGAGGAGACTCCTCTCGCAGAGCGGCCGATCCGCTCGGGCCCTGGCGCGCCGGTCAACAGTCGTGGACCCAGCCGCGCTTCGGGCGGGTGTTGATGCGGGGCGGCCCAAAGTGGGGGGTGAAGAAAAGGGTTTAGAGCGCAGCCCCCCTCGGCCGACCCATCGCGTGCGGGCACGCACGCAACGCGTCGGCCGAGGGCTCCAAATGCAGTTCCGTGCGTGCCCGCTCGCGTTTGATGGCCGCGCTTTCTGGAGGGCGTGAGGATGCGCGGCCACCAAACGCGAGCGGCACGCACGCGATGGGTCGGCCGAGGGCTCCAAATGCAGTTCCGTGCGTGTGCCCGCTCGCGTTTGGTGGCCGCGCACTCTGGAGGGCGTGAGGGTGCCGTGTTTTACGGTATGCCGCGCACCCGCGGCATACCGTAAGACACGGCACCCTCACGCCCTTGAGGATCGGTTGCCACCAGACACGAGCGGGCACGCGCGCGATGGGTCGGCCGATGGCTCCAAATGCAGTTCCGCGCGTGCTCCCTCGCGTTTGGTGGCCTTCAGGGACGCCAGGGGGGCCCTCACGCCAAGGTGAGGGGTGCTCCCTGGGCTCCTAGCGCTCCCCAGGAGCTCACCAGGTGCTCACAAGGCTCTCCAGGTGCACCCAGGGGTGGCGGGCACGGCCACGGCGAGGGCCGGCCCCCCAGGCTCACTGGCTCCTCAGGCGCTCCCAGGCGCGATGCGCCTGTGAGCGCCTCAGGCTCGCAAGGCTCCTCAGGCTCCTCAGGCGCCTCAGGCACTTCAGGCTCCTCAGGCGCCTGAGGCACCTCAAACTCCCCAGGCTCCCCAGGCTCCTCAGGCTCCTCAAGCGCCTCAGGCACCTCGGGTTCCTCAGGCGCCTCAGGCACCTCAGGCTCCTCAGGCTCCCAGGAGCTCCTGGGGTACTGATTCTGAGACTGGGGGTACTGATTCTGAGACTGGGGGTACTGATTCTGAGACTGGGGGTACTGATTCGGAGACTGGGGGTACTGATTCTGAGACTGGGGGTAGTGATTCTGAGACTGGGGGTATTGATTCTGAGACTGGAGGGCAACCAGGGGTACTGAGGGCTCCAAATGCAGTTCCGTGCGTGCCCGCTCGCGTTTGGCGGCTGCGCACTCTGGAGGGCGTGAGGATGTGCGGCCACCAAACAGCAGTTCCGTGCGTGCCCGCTCGCGTTTGGTGGCCGCGCACTCTGGAGGGCGTGAGGATGCGCGGCCACCAAACATGAGCGGGCACGCGCGCGATGGGTCGGCCGAGGGCTCCAAATGCAGTTCCGTGCGTGCCCGCTCGCGATGGGTCGGCCGAGGGCTCCAAATGCAGTTCCGTGCGTGCCCGCTCGCGTTTGGTGACCCTCACGGATGCAAGGGGGGCTGCGCTTTAGGGAGAAGGCTTTACAGTTGGGGCCCATGCCAAGAATGTCAAGAAACATTCTGCTTGCATCCAGGCTGCCTTGAGTTTCGATGGTTTTGCTGTGGAAGGCGGGGCGTTCCCACACCAAAAATCAATGGACGTCTTGGGGCCTCAGGGTTGGGTTTCTTGTGGAAGGTTTCTTGTGGACTGGCCTCCACTGTAACAGTCGTGGGCCCACCCGCCCTTCGGGCGGGTGGTGATGGGGGGTGGCCCAACCCTGGGGGGTGTAGAAAAAGATCCTACATGGGCCCCTTTTTCGGGGAACGAGCAATGACATAAACATACAAACTCGGAGGTCCGCGCGGATTTCTCGGATCGGCGCTTGATACACGAGCGCGCGCGCACAGTATTTGTTGCCCGGGAACCGACGGGATACCGATACCGGCCTGGCTGGGATAGTATATATTCACAGGTAGGATGGACATTGGGTCAGGATCGTATGTGTTTTGCATATGTTCCCGGGGAGGCGGTAAGTCCAGGGGGGATGGTGGTAAAACCCATTTCTTTGTTAGAAATGAGGATATTTGTGGTGGAATCTATGTGGTATAACAAAGGGTATGAAAGCTCTGTGGCATCACCCAAATGTTGCAGTCCCTGTGGTGCAGTCTATGTCGCGCACTCCTTTTATGGTTCATTACGTCTTATGCAGTCTATGCGGTCCAACCTGCGTTGTGCAACCCATGTGGTGCAGTTCCAGGTGGTGCGCACTGTACAGTC